CTACAGGAGTCCATCGTGGGAGATGAGGAACAGCAACAAAAGAGGGGCTAGCTATAGCGTGTGTAGAAAACGGTAAAAATTTAAACGTTTAGAAAATCAATAACTGTCTTGCATGGGCGTCGATTGGCCACTGCGGACTATGTCAGTCTACGCAAGTAGGCGAGATCAGCGTGTTCGGTGGGAATATTTACAGAACAACTGTCAAGGGTTATCAGACCGTGAGGGGTAAGCAATCGCGATAAAAAGAGGGACAATTATAGCGATATACGTTGATTAACCGTCAGAGGTTTCAACGTTCATCCTGTCTAATTGCCCCATTGTCGTTGCTGACGCCCTGATGAACATTGAAATCACTGACGGTTAAACAACAGTTAGTCTCTATAATTGCCCCCCTTTCAATCGCGATTGCTTACCCCTCACGACCTGATGACCCTTGACAGTTGTTCTGTAAACCTTCCCACCCAACACGTCGATCTCGCCTACTTGCGCAGACTGACATAGTCCGCAGTGGCTAGTCGGCGCCCACGCAAGACAGTTATTGATTTTCTACACGCTCAAACTTTAACTGTTTTGTACACACGCTATAACTAGCCCATCTTTTGTTGCGGTTGCTTATCTCTGACGATGGACTGTTGTAAGAATTCAAAACCTAGAATAATAAACAAGTCTATCCGATGTTCGACCACCCATTTTCTTTAACCATTTTTGTTTCAGTCAGCAGTATCCTTACGAAAAGTATATTGGGAGAGAATTGGAATATTGTTTTCAAAAGAATACGAATATTTAAGGCTACCAACAATATATTAGAGCACTCAGCAAAAGGCCATCGACTTCGCAGGTGTAGTTTTATAATTGACGTTATAACCATATTTAAAAAGCACGGCTATCTGGGGTACATTTGCTGCCATAAAACAACTTATTTTCTTATGGAAGGGAACCATAAAAGTTGGCCAACACTACGAGAGGTATAATTCGTGCCATTACTACAGCAAAGGGCTGTTCACAGATCTCACTGGAAACCTTACTCGCTGAAAATAAATGGAGCTTTTGCATGTATGACTCTGGTATAATGTCAGCATGAAGTCTAGAAAAGCAAACGGATTCTTAGTAAAATAAACCACTGAGTGCTAAACAGGGGATATTTTGGGAAACGAAAATATAACCTTCTCCATTTAACGCTGATACATGCAATATGCCAAACAGATGTGAGATTTATTCAGGTTAATTTATGGCACTCCATTCTGCTCACAGCGGAGAAAATTGGTCGCTAATTTTTAGTCTTAACTATCAATTTAGCTTTCTTAACTCCGATAGCGTCCTTCGTGAATCAGTCAATTCAAATTAATCGGAGTTAGGGATAAGGACCACAATCTTTCACTCGCTTTCACAGGTCTGAGCATTGAAATATACACTTCTTCTTTCGAAAATACAGTCTTGGAAAGAAAGAGACATTTGAAAATACACATAATTTCACTCACCGGCGGTTCATTGTACAGTAAATGATTGGATTGTACATGCTGTTGCTCATGGCAAGAACGTAGCAGAAAATAAATATTGAAGGCAAACTTGGATGTTCGTGGTCGATTGGTGCACGCAGAATGAGGAAAAACAGCTGATAGGGCAGCCAGCAAATTGCAAATATGAGCATCACCGCAATCAGCATTTTGACAACCTTTATCACACCAGAAAAGATCAAAGTTAGAATGCTTTCAATGAAATACGACCTAGCAACTACTTCAATGCATTTTATGCTTATGGCTGTTGTAAGAATATGTAGAAAAGCAATTAAGTCAAAGAGGCAAGTGTAAAATTCTTTTTTTGTATTGAAATAAGCGGTAGCTATTGATTCACTTGCTCATAATCTGAAAATAACCGCCTTCTTTCGCCCATTTCAGTAAGCAATATATTTGGTTGACGGAGCTTAGTAAGTCACGTTCTATCGAAATCCTTCACAAGTAAGAAACTGAACATCCGAATTTCAGAATAACCTTTTTGACTACATCTGAAGCTGCTCCCCTGAGGGATAAAACCCCAGATCACTGTTGACCGTTTTAGATTTACATTGAGCAATTGAGAATATGAAAATTTAGATACGTGGCGACTCCTATAAAACTTATTGCGATAATACCTGCCGGAATACGTAGACAACATGCGTCTGCAAACAATGATATTCAAAAACACCTAAACGATGGATAATGAGCACTCTGTCATGCTTATTTCTACAAGCAATATTTACTGGTATAAACAGTTTATTTTACAAGTTTATACTCCTTCCAACGCATGCCATTTTAAAAGTGAAGTTTTCGAAATTCCTTTTTGAATTTTAGTCCGAAAGTATTATGATAATTGCACCACGCTATCCTAATGCTGAGGTGTTGCAGTGCGCAATTTTAATCACATAACGGAACAAAATATTTTCTTTCAACAAACGTTCGTTAGTATCTCATTTCTACACGTAGTGTAACAAAAGGTGGGTCGGCCGTGGCCACTTTTTCCTTCGCAAACAAAAACTCTTAGTCATCAAGCGCATTGCCATCAAAATATGCTAACGCGTCCTATGACTTGACTATTATATGCCTGAGGAGTTTGAATTCATAAAACGCAAAATGTGGGGTATTAACTTCTCCAGACTGAGCTGTATGAGTCGGCACACATGCTTCCTAAGTATCCTTAATATTTGTGGTAAAATGGCCCTCTAACTATCGAAAAATAAAGCCCACACTTACCTTGCGTTTCGATTTTACGTTTTCACGTTGTCCGTGCGTTACTTCACCAAGACCCCGATGAGCCCATAATTTTATCGTTATCGGAATGTAGGTAGCAAACAGAATCAGAAGAGGCAGAATGTACATCAACAGAAAGAGCGCGATGTCGTATCTGAAGCAAAAATGCAGCCCATTAGCATACGCTGTTGTTTGAATTGACGAACAAGGAAAATTTGGTGCGAACTCCAACATCTTAGAAACTAATAATGAAATTGGTAGGCGGTATGGTTTTGGGCTCTGAACGCTCACTACGCTCACTTTGCATAACTGCATACTCACTTCGGAGTAGTAAGCATGACTGCTTCCCGCAAAGGTAAGTTCCAGTCTCTCCACATTACACTTCAGAGATGGATTGCATTTGCTCCTGCGGTCACTTTTAAACTTATACTTTGTTGTAAAGTTCAGTTTTACATTGAGTTAGTTTGGTTTATCGTTTAATTTCATTAGTTTGAGTTTAGTTATAGTTAACTTTAGTTCAGCTTTGTTTTCGGATTATTTAGTTTACCCTTTATTTTGGTCTATCGTGCTACAACAGCTGTCAATGTGCATAAAATGGTATTGTGTTAAAAATGAATAAAAAAGCCTATTATTCATGATGTTATTTCCATCTCTTAAATTCGAAATTGAGTGAATAGACGATTGTATTCAACTCGCGATTACTATTAGAAAGTTCATGTCTCCTATTGGTTGTATTTTTTGACTGCGATTCTCGCGTGCTAAACATTAGGTTATATAATCAATTTTTCCTATTTTTCTACTTTTATAGGCTCTATTTTAAAATTATTTTCTCTTTCCTCTGATATGACCCACCCATTAAACCCATACTATCACTGGTCCCACATAAGAAAACCTTGCGGTTTTGCTGGCTATAGTGAGCTCGAAGTGAGACTGTTACCTGAAATTCTGTGAGCAACCACCATGTGTGTTAGTGAAAAATGCTTTTGCATCAACTTTTAGGCTACTTAATTGACGGAGTTTTTGACCACCGTTTTGCTTTAGAAGCTAATAATAAAACACGATTAAAGTGTGCGTATAAATAACAATATAACTTACGCTGTTCCCCAAAAAGGCGACCAATCGTATGTGCAGACATGACAGTAACCCCCTGACGGAGCGTCGGACGATATTTTCATTGCCTTTTCTGATATCGAATAATTATGCTCTTGACCCTCGTTATATTCCGTCGAAAAGCGGGGCTGGAAGATTTGCTCAGTGGTCGCGTAAGTCGTTTCGTTGAAAGGAAGTGACTTATTGCTAGTATATGCGGTATCATTCCATCTGATAATAGTAGTAGCCTTCAACAAACCCGGGAGGCCAATGATAAAAGCAGACACCCAAATAAATGCAATTACGCAAAGTATTGTCGACGGCCGAGAACGTGGTCGAAGAGGATACTTTATTGCGACGTACCTAAAAAACCGTAGGATAGTAACATAGTTAAATTTTATTCATTTTTATGGTGCACTTTCTGTAAAATAAGGCCTTTTGCAACATTACAAACACACAGTTTTCTTTATGAATACTAAAACGATTCCCAAAAGAGATAAATTGGTTTGCGTGAAATAACCATTTTGCAGCTATCTGAAGCACACGCTAAGCCTCACTTATATATGTTAACTCCGGCGCTATTTTTAAAATTACCGTTGATAATTTATTACCAAAGTTTGAGTCAATCTTGGAAAGGTATTATTCGAAAATGACTGCTGTATACGTAGCCAACAAACTATGCTGCCTTGCCAAAAAACCTAAATAATTTTCTGTTTGAAATGACCAGATGAAATAGGTGCAAAAATTACTCCTCTGTAGTTTCTCGTCGTTGTTAATCTAAGCAGCCATAATTACCGCTTGTTCCTACTCGGCTGATAAAGTCGAACGTAAATCAATAGCACTAAGCAACTTAAACTACTGTTCATGCAATCCTATTCCCTCCTTCTTAACCTCTGATAGGAAAATTGTTCTCACGCATTTTCATAACTAGTCGCCAATTTTGACAATTCGGAAAACGAATAAGAGGCATCGGTCACGTGCAGATGGTAAAGAGGAGTGCTTATGAAACCCACCAGAATTTTATTACTTACTATCACAACACAGAGCTTTAAATGAAAATTCTTATCAAGGAAAATGTTCCGTCGTTTAACAGAGTGAGAGGTAAGATGATGAATTTCCTACAAAAATGGCTCAAACCATTAAACAGAGACTACCAGCGGATGAAAATACAAGGAGCATTTTAGTGTATCCTCGTCTTCCTCCCGCAGACGTAAAAAGTTAAGATGGGTTCGAGTAGGTCTTATTTTTAGCATTCAGTAAGTTGGGACAAATAAAAACCAGTGAGCCGTGATTTTCGTTTAGGTCAAAGGCCGCTAATTGCTGACGACATTTAATTAAAAACCGTATGTTAGCATTAGAGGAAGTTATACAAAACATGTTATGGAACGGGATATTTTAAACATATAATTTTCAAAATTGGCGCAGTATGACCAAAATAGTACGCGAGCATCTGAAGCAACCCATTTTATTTGCCGGAAACATGATCAGTTTATGACGTTAGCTCCTTTAAGTCTATAGTTTTTACCGAATATGCGGCTGTCAAAGTTTTAAACCATTATTTGGCTAACATCAACGAGGATAAGTGTAAAATCTCCGTTAAATGGAAACCGTATACCTACTCTTAAATCTGGAAACAAAACAGGTTGGTGAAGACCTCTTGTAAATGATTCTATAATAACGTTTGAAAATTTGAATATGTTTATATATTCCCATAACTAAGCCCTGCGCAATGCAATATAACTTTCTTAAATATAGAATAATAATGATTTCGAAAACGTGTGCCGCTTTGATCAAATTAAGGAGAAAAGCTTAATACTTTAAAAAATATAAATACTATTTATCGAAACTCAGAACTTATTAATCTGCTTTTAAAAAACCTGGCAGTCTGACAGAAACATTTGTTGATAATGAAAAATGTTTAAATATAAATGACAGAAATATTCATCCTTCATTGGTACGCACCTATCCGCAGTCAGTCCAGTGAAAGTTAAGACGCTAATAGCGATGGAAAATGCCGTAAAGAACTGCGAAAATTTGCAGTAGGCTAATCCAAAGATCCAGTCATTGAGTAAGACGTTGTAGATATTTGGAATTATTTGGAATACTGTAAGCATATCACTCACAGACAGATTCACAAGGAAATAGTTAGTCACCGTCCGCATTCGCCTTGTGGTTAAAACGATCCAAATGACGATTCCATTGCCAAGAATGGTCATCACTGATATTATAGAAAATACGAGTATTATTGCAACACATGCTGCTGAAGAGAAAGGCGGAGGTTCACAACCTTCACTGGCAGTAACAAGGTGTTCTTCAGATGACATTTTGTCAGAAAAGCGTTTCCCTAATGCACAGGTTAAAGCGTGCTTGCATCTTTCGTTAGGTCAGTAAACCAAGCTAAATTCCAATTGGACGCCTGCGAGCCAACAGCGTAACCTCGCGTTTCAGGTAGCTTAAGAGACACCGCGTGAACCCAAACGCCATCACAAATCTATTTTTGCTGTCGCTAGAATATGGTAGAGTTAAAACTATCTCTTAAAAATCCTGATGCTAACTGCATTTACCGTCAGCATGTGGAACTACTGGTTTGGAATGGTTGGATAGTACACAATGCATATTAGCGTTCACCTTGGAAAAATGAGCGATCTAAAATATATTTGTTTCGGAGTTAATAACTTACGATGCATAATAATCAGGATATGAATTCTGTACCTAACAGACTCGCTTGTTCGTTCGTTCTGCTATTCACCGCATAAGATATGCAGGGATTCGTGCCATTAATGACTATTGTACTATCACTCAACGAAGGTAGGGAATCAGGCCCCCAAGTGAATATGCAGGCTTGGACTATCGCTTTGATTACAGATCAGTATAAACCAAAAAACCGAAAGATTGTAAGCCAGTAAAACAAGTCAAATATGCCAACCGAAGTTAACCAACGCTTAAAATTTGTGTAGCCTAGGCCGTGTTATCTGCCCTTTATACCACCATAGCAATTCGTGAGTGCTTTTGGGAATATTTTAAGGTGACATTGCAGTAGTTTTCTATTAAAAGAAGTGTAGTTAACGTTAGGGCTACCTTTTCTCTTTACCATTTTAAATCTCTTGGCTGGGTAAAAACAGAAATACAGTTCTGCGAGTGCTGCAAACAAAATTCAGGCCGAAATTTAACCGGGTAATTTAGCATATAGCTGGACAGGTTATTTTGATCAACTGAGTGGATTTAATAATGAGGAAGCCTTTGGTTTGGAAAACTGCCCTCCTTTTTAAAGTTATTGGGGGAAATAGGCTCTCACATTTGCTAAATCATGAATATGTTTATATAAAAGAAATTCCGTATGCTATAAGGAAAGACAGGACGGAACTTTCTTCTAATATACATTGTGCTGTGGTAGTATTCCATAATTAGTAAAAAAAGGTGAAATAATAATCCCTTCCAGTACCGGAAAACTTTGTGTGAATTTGATCCAATGGAAGTAAAGCGAAGTTTAAGGAATCGCAATTATTTTCATTAACAAGCATCGATACAAGTTTAAAAAATTACATTAAGCTATTCTGTG